CTGAAAAAGCCAGTAGTAGTACTGTGGCTGGCTCAAGTGGTAGAATGCTAGCCATGAGCAAAATGGAGCTCTTGAACAGCACCCAGGCCCAGAGTTCAAGCCTCAGGCTTAAATAAATAAATAAATAAATCTTATTTCACAAATAACTTCAAATACTATGTGCAGATAATTCATCTCTCATTCTAACCTGTCAGCTTCTACCTCGTCGTGTGTGTGTGTGTGTGTGTGTGTGTGTGTGTGTGTGTGTGTGTGTGTCAGTTCTGGGGTTTGGACTCAGGACCTTGCACTTGGGTGTTCTATCACCAAGTCTAGCCCCTTTTTTGTGTCATGGTTATTTTTGCGATAGGGTCTTGCTTCCTGCCCTGGTATGAGCCAGGGCTGCAATCTATTTTAGACTTCCCCTTGTAGCCGGGTTGACAGGCAGGCAATTGGTGTGAGCTCTGGGTAAAGAAGGTATCTTGTGAACTTTTCTGCTTCTGGTTGGTCTGGGACCTAGATCCTCCAGATCTCAGCCTCCCAAGTAGTCAGGACTACAAACACATGAGCCACTGGTATGCACCTCAGCCCTATATTTTGTATCATCAAAGGACATTTCCTCCCGGAAGACATGTTCTTTGATGTGGAGAGAGGTAGTTGGTTTTTGTTTTGCAAAGATTAGTTTTCCTCCCTTCCAGACAATAGTCTTATAACCCTGGAGTCATTTTAATCTCTATTCTCTCCAATATCATTCTGAGTCTAGAAGATAGAAGACTGATCCATTTAAGTTCTTACTTGCTAAAGTAAGACTTCATTTATAATATAGGCTTTTTGTTTTCTGGGTTTTGTTGGTAGTGGGGCTTGAACTTGGGGCCTGGGCACCGTTCCTGAGCTCTTTTGCTCAAGTCTAGTGCTCTACTACTTTAAGCCACAGCGCCACTTCTGGTTTTCTGTTGGTTAACTGGAAATAATAGTTTTATGAACTTTTCTGCCTGAACTGGCTTTGAACCATGATCCTCAGATCTCAACCTCTTGAGTAGCTAGGATTACAGATGTGAGCCTCCAGTGCCCAGCTTAATATAATATTTTTTTTTTTTTTTTTGTCGGTCGTGGGGCTTGAACTCTGGGCCTTGGCGCTGTCCCTCAGCTCTTCAGCTCAAGGCGAGCGCTCTACCACTTGAGCTACAGCGCCACTTCCGGTTTTCTGGTGGTTTATTGGAGATATGAGTCTCACGGTCTCTCCTGCCCGGGCTGGCTTTGAACCGCGATCCTCAGATCTCAGCCTCCTGAGTAGCTAGGATTACAGGCGTGAGCCACCAGCGCCCAGCTTAATATAATATTTTTAACTATTCTCTTCTCTCCCAAACTCCTAGTTGATGGCAAAGAAGTTTAATTATGTTCTCAGTTGGGAAAGTGAGGGTGTAAAGCATTATCTCTCTGTGTGATATGTGTGTAATGTATGTATAATATCTGTGGTGTGTATATATATGTCTCTGTGTGTGTGTGTAATGTTTGCTGTATGTGTGCAATAGTATGTGATACTTCTCCCTCTGAATACAGTTTTACAACTCTAGGAAAAAGAGAACTAAAAGATACAATGAGAGCTCAAGAGAGAGATCCTTATAGATCTGTCCCTGCCTTGCCTGTTCTCTGTTTTTACCAGGGCACCTGCTTGTCCCCAGAAGCCCTTCTGAAGCAATGCTGGCTTCAAATGGAAGAGCACTGGAAGGTATCTGGGTCAGGATGGACACTGGTTCTGGTTCTCATTCGTTCTCTCTCATTTCTTTTTTTTGTTTTTATTTTTTGGTTGGTCGTGGGGTTTAAGCTCTGGGTTTGGGAACTGTCCCTACACTCTTCAGCTCAAGGTGAGCGCTCTACCCTTGGAGCCACAGTGCCACTTCCGGTTTTCTAGTGGTTTATTGGAGATAGTCTCACGGACTTTCCTGCCTAGGCTGGCTTTGAACTCCGATCCTCAGATCTCAGCCTCCTGAGTAGCTAGGATTACAGGTGTGAGCCACCGGCACCCAGCTCAAATTGACTTCTTATCTATTAGGTTCTTATAATCATAAGTGCCTCCAAGACCCCCACCTCCAATATCTGCTCTGTCTTCTGTATTTACAGCGATTACATCCCTGGTGATTAAAAGAGCAGGTAAATATTTCAATAGTCCTCTGACCTCAACAGGTGCAGATAAGAGATAATGCAGACTGTCATAAAATTCTTTACCCCTATGGGCAGAATTCTAGTCAATTTGCACCAGGCCTTATTTGTATTATGGCCCAATCACTTATTTATTCCTTCAATCAATGTCCCTATACTATCTCCATGTAATCTTGCATCCTAGGAAATTTGCAGCCCAATGAAAGAACTGGAGCCTACACCTGAGTTTCTCCTACTCTTTTCTTTTTATTATTAAAAGAAAAAGAATCTGATTCCAGTAAACATAGAGAAAGACAAGTAGGAAAATATGAAAGTCCTTGCTAAAGTAAACTCCTAAACAAATGTGAGTAGGGATAATTATAGTTCCATATGGAAAGGCTTCTCTATAAATAACAGGAGAAGCAAATCATTTTGTTAAACATACTGCTGGACTCTCCAAGCAGCTTATATTAAACATTCTGCTGGATTCTCTAAGCAACTTAGAAAATGGTCAGAAATTTCAGAGAGCAGGAAATGGGCAGATTCTCAAAAGAAATACTTCAGGAAGAACATTGGGCCTCTGGTACCTAGGATAAGAGAAGAAGGAAGGGTAGATTCTGTGAATCCCACTGTGGGTTATTCTAGTTGAGGGGTGGATGAGTTCTCTCAGCTGACCAGTGAAGAACCACCCCCAACCGAGAGGCATTTTGAAGGCTTCATCAGACTGGGCAGGGCTAGCTTGGAAATGAGGGTGGAAGGAGAGAAATGAGTCAATGGTTACTCTAAGATGTCTAGCCAAGATGACTGGGAAAATACTGGGTGTCACTAAGAGTCAGATGAAAACTAAAGGGAAGAAAGGAGAGAGCCTATACCCCAAGCTTGGAATTTCAGGTACACATCCCAGAGGCTCCAAAGGCCAGGCAGAAGCAGAGGGCAAAGAAAGGCAGGCAGTAGGAGCCGCACTCTTGGAAGGTTCATCTCCAAAGAGGGGGTCTCCACAGGATTGTCAGGACTTGGCATTTGTGATCTTTGCCACTTGGGAACACCCTGGTGGAATAACCAGAGCTTCCTTTTTGCAAGAGAAGGCAGTAAACCATATTGCTTTTGTAAAAAAAAACAAAACCAAAAAACTGAACTCTTTAATGTTGGATATTAATATTATTATTTTCCCACTTAAGCACATCTGTAGGCCAGATTTGGTAGGTTGGCTATCAGGTCAGGGGTCAGAGTTCACAAACTGTCCGGGTGAGATGAAGATGAATGTAAAAGGATCAGTAACTATACATGCAGTTGCTGTCAGCAGTCCAACTCTCCAAAGCCTAAATATGGATTTGAATATATACAGGAAGTTTTAATGTACTCCTCAAACGGTTAAATCACAAGAATTCGAGTGCTTGCTGTGTGCTGAGTACACAGAAGTCAAGGAATTTCAAACCTAAGTAGAGAAGGAAAAACATGACCTCCTGACTATAAAGCAGCTCGGGAGATGGCTGTTTTCTACATTACACTAATATACCCGAGGCCTCTTAAATGCGGGGCTGTGCCCTAGAATCACCTCCATGTGCACCCTTCGTAATACTCTGTGTGTGTGTGTGCGTGTGTGTGTGTGCAGGAATCTGTAACCAGAAATCTGACTTCCTGAGGCCATGGTTACGAAGCTGCAGCCGCAGCCTCTGTGGCCCAGGGGTATGCTTACCTCGGTGTGGGAGAGAGGGAAGCCTGTGGGGCGGGGGTGGGGAGGAGGTGAATTGGGGTACGTGGACTTCCCCCCACCCACAAGAAGGAGATGGGGAGTGCCCAGTGTAACCCCATCCCCACCCCTCGCGGCTTGTCAAGATCCTCAGCCTGCCTGGAGTGGGAGGAGAGCAGGGGGCGGGAGGGGGGGGGAGAGGGTCCCTGTCTTTGTTCCTGTCACTTACCCTTAAGTGTCTGTGGAGGAGAAAGGCGGACCCCGAAATAGAAAGTGTCAAGGATGGGATTGACAAGGCGGGTGCGTCGGTGCGCGCGCGCGCGCGCCCCGTCCCGCGCGCTCCCCGCGGAACGCCCTCCCGTCCTCTGGTAGGGAGCCCACGGCGGGGCAGGAAGCGGCGGGGCGACTGCGGGTGCCCGTCACCCCAACCCCTCCCCAACCCCCTCCCGGGAGAGCAGCGATTTCCTCCGAGGCGGCCCCGACCTATCTCTCCAGAGGCACGGGCTGGCCTCAGGAGAGCTTGATCCCTCCCCAGTCCGCACTTCTCAACCCACCCACCTACTTCCTCCCGCTCCGCACACTCCAGCTCCGAGGCGGCCAAAACTTTCCACCCTCCGCTCCCCCCCCTCCCCGAGCTAACTTCCTTCCAGCGTTTCCTGAGCTGGATGATCCTCGGATTTGTAAGACAGGAAAAAAAAGAAGAGAGAGAGAGAGAGAGAGAGAGAGAGAGAGAGAGAGAGGAGAGAGAAGGCGCGAGGGCGGGCGCAGGAGACAGGATGCTGGCTTTTGGCGTTGGCCAAGCCGTCTGAAGACGAGACAGGCGGGGCCCAGGGCAGCAGGACGCAGCGCAGCCCCCGGGGCTGTCCCCTCGCCCCGCTTGCCTCTCCGGGACACCCACAAAGGCGGAGAGGAGGAAGGAACGACCCGAAGACTTCGCGCGCCGCCGCCGCCGCCGGACGGAGCGTCTGGAAGTCCCGGGGACTCCCGGTGAGGAAGTGACAACTCCCCGGGGCGAGCGGCCTCCGGCACCGCACGGCGGCGCGGGCGCAGCAGGGGGGCGCACGCACCGGGTTGGGTGGATCGCCCGCCGGCTCGGTTGGACTGCGGCCGTGCGCGCCCCGCCGCGCCCTGACTCGCGCGCGCGTGGAGACCCCGGGGGGCCGAGCGGTCCCGCGGGGGGGATTCTGTGCTCCCGCGCCCCGGTCCCCGCCGCTGTCCTCGCGGTGATCCATGCGGACCCCCACCGCCAGGCTGCCGTCAGGGATCTGACAACCCTTCCCCCCCCCACCTCCCTCTCCCCGAGACCATCGTCCACGCGGTGCCGAGCAGAGGGAGGGCGAGGACGGAGGGGCAGCCTCTGGGACTAACTCATGAAGAACAAGGGTGCCAAGCAGAAGCTGAAACGAAAGGGAGCCAGCGGTGCGTTCGGCTGTGACCTCACGGAGTACCTGGAGAGCTCGGGACAGGATGGTAAGGTGCCTTGGGCCGTCCCAGACCCCGTCCCGGTCCCCGTCCCGCCCTCGCCCTCCTCTCTGCTCTCTTCTTTTTGTCTGAGACAGCGGAGGATTCTCCTGGGGTGTGTGGGATTCAGTTCGTGAGTTAATGTATTCCAGGCTTGTGCGCTCGCGCGTTGTACTTTTATTTTTTTTAAAGAACACACTGGGTTCTTAAGGTGCGGCCGGCGGTGGGGCCACCCTGACACCCAGCGGCTGTCAGTTCTGGCGTGGGCAAGTGTCGCGACAAGTTTAACTGACCCCATTCCGGACCCGCCAGAGGCCCTGTCCTTAAATCTGGGGTGTTGGAAGGGAGGGGTGAGACGGGACCTGTGTGGCTGGGTCCTCCTGTGGACTTTCCACAGTGCACACCCTGGTGACCGCCTTCTGCGTCCCTCTGGATTCATCAGTTCACAGCCTTTTTACAACATGAACGAGCTGGAGGGCCGTGGGGGCTGGGGTGGAGTGGGGATCCTGCTGGGGGGCGGGGGGGGGGGTTGCACCAACATTTTCTGAATTTCTGAGCCCATGCCAGATATATAGCGGACCCCCGCCCCCACCCCTAGACCCTTTTACCTTCTTCTGGCGTTCAGTCTAGCATTTGCTATGTGAGGCAAGATGTTTGTGTGTGTGTGTGTGTGTTTAAAAAAAAAGGTCAGAGGGCTTCGATTTTTGAAATAGTTTAGGGTTCATAAGAGAAAAAAAGAGAAAGTCTCAGTTTTCAAGGTCAACTTGGAAAAAAGAAAAAAAGAAAAACCAGAATGCAGCCTAGTGGAGACAATTTAAACATTTGTTGGGGGAGAGAGAGAGAAAAAAAAACTATCTCACATACAATAACTGCGTTTGAGGTTAGAAGTTTTTTAATCATAGGAAAGTTGGGGAAATTGAGCATTAAATGACTCCTTTTGTAAGGTTGACTAACCCTGCACTTACCCGTGACAAAAAGGCCTTGTCTTCCCAGGCTTCAGGGAGAGAGAAAATAGCCCTCCACATGGGCTGTGTGTTTATACATAGATAGATACAACAAAGGGGAAACTTACAGGCTGGGTAACTGTGCAGAATAATTCTGCCTCGGGGAAAATAATCTGAAAAAAAAAAAGAGATTCCATTCGTCCATATCAAATATGCATCTCAAAAAAAACAGTGCAGTGCTTTTGTCTTCCTTCCCCTTTTTGAAGACTCAGCACCCCTAGTAATTTGCAGTGGCCTGATGTCCTGTGGTATTCCAGAGTTCAGGGACTGCTGTGTCATTAGGACGAACGGCTTAGTATTTTAGAGCATGGGCAACCACAGGTTTATAAACTGCCTCTTTGAAATAGAGGCATAACTGGAGTTATTATTTGTTGAATTCTTCACCAACAATCTTGAGTGGTCGATTTGGAATTAAAGAAAAATCACTTGGGCTGAGCTCTTTTGAATGTGAGGATATTCCAACTTATATGCCTTAACTGCTGTAGAAGAAAGTTTGAAATGTTTCTCGCCACCTGTTTCCGCAGGGGTCTTCAGGGTACCATTCAGGTTCACTAGAGTTGCTCCTAGGAGGTTGCCTCCTGCCATGTTATTCTGGGCCCTTGCTCCAGAACTGTGAGAATTGCATAAGGAGGCATGCCAGCCCTGCCCCATTCTTACAAAATCTTAAATCAGAGCAGAATACAGAACCCCAGAGCTCTCTGAAGATACCCCAGAGGGGCCCTTAGGAAGCTCTTCTTCATCTTGCTCTATATTTGGGGCTTCTGTGTGTTTCCTTTAGAAGATAAAATTTAAAAGGAAGGGAACTACTACTTAAGGAAAATGTGGGGCCCAGAGCATAACTCTAGTAGCAAGAGTGATTATCTAGCGTGCACAGGTCCTGGGTCTGAGCCCCAGCATGAGCTAAAGAAAGGGAAGCCAGAACATAGTGCTGGAGGAGAAGCTCAGAGATGTAAGTTGCCTTTTCTCAGGTGATATAGTTAATTGTGAAGGCTGAAGATGGCCTTGACTTCATAGACTACCTTGCTTTTCTCTTTCTGTCGAAGCCAACATTCTCTTCTAATGATTTTTTCCCCCTAAATTGAAAGCAGACAGCTCTGTCCTCCGACTAGCTAACTTTTCAAGATTGAACATAGCTGAATAGAGTTCAAAATAAGATCTGCTTCATGGTCCACAAGCAGTTATCATGCTAGGTGGAAATTAGGCATGCATGATAAGTTGTTAGTAAAAATAAGAATAATTAGGATTGCTTTTTCTCCCATAGTTAACGTCATAGGATAGTTTTCTCATATTTTTGCTATAGTGTAACAGTGATAAAGGAAGTCAGTGCTAATGGTTTTTCTTGTAATCTAAAACAATCTTGCATTCTCGTGGCCTTTTGCAGAGCATGTATTAGTAGACAAGACCTAGACTCTTCCTAGGGAGAAAAAAACTGAGCAAAGACTTTGCCAGAGACTTTGGAAGAACATTCCAGAATGTTGTAACAAGCTAGGGTGATAACCAGGGGGCTTTTCCAGACTAAGATGGTGGTCGCTGAGCTTTCGGGATTAAGGGTGTAGCAATGGATGTTGGTAGAGCCAAGGGAAAACTGTTCAAGTTGGCGGGCACAAAGTTGAAGAAAGACCAGAGACAGAGGGAAACAGAGAGCCCCTGTACTTGCAGAGAGGAAGAAAGCTCCAAGCTTCCAGGCAGGGCAAAGTGGGTGGCAGTTTGCTGTGTTTGGGCTGTCTGAGTATGGAGAAGTTACCACCTTCAGTGGCTGCACTCTGGGCAGCTGGAGGCTGAATACAAAGGATGTGTGTCAGCCACTTCTGCAATGTGCTGCACCTACTCCTGCGACCTTCGGTTGGACAGATCTGGTGGGATGGAGTGTGTGAGTAAACAAGTTTTATTTGGCTTAGAGTAAACATTACTTCGACCAGTTGTCATCCTTAGTCTTTGGGAAGCTAAAAAATCACAACAACAACAAGCAAACAACTCTAAAAACGTGAGCATGCACACACGCACACGTAGAGTTGTGCAAGTCTTTCAGACATCCACAGGGCTGCGAGTTACAGATCCTATTTTCATCATCCAGCATCCTGTAAGCCTGATGTAAAGGGACAACTCCCCCCACCCACACATCCAAATTGTGTCAATGATGGCCATTAAACTTGAGGCTTCCTGCATGCTAGGCAAATGTCTGCTACTGTGCTGCTCGTCTTCTTTAATCACTTTTCTATGGCCTGCTGAGAGCACCCCAGCAAAGCATAGAGTGCCTCCTGGAAGTCTCTCACTTCCTCTCTGCACAATGCCTAGCCCCCGGCTTCCCCCTGGGAACCAGCTAGCTTTCTCTTCCTGTCTGGAAGAATAGAGGGAGAAGATTCATCCTTTCCTTACTGTGGATGCTGAAAAGAATATAGTTTCTTTTCTTTCTTTTCTACTCAGTTCTTTTTTTTGTGCGCACATTGGAACTTGCTCTCTCTTTACATGCTCAGAGCTGGTACTCTACTATTCGAGCCATGCCTACAGTCTGGCATTCTGCTAGTTAATTGGAGATGGAATCTTGAAGACTTTTGTGCCCAAGTTGGCTGACTCTTGATCCTACAGGTTTCAGCTTCCTGAGTAGCTAAAATTACAGGAGTGTACCACTCTTTTTCTTCTTTCTTCTTCTACAGTGTATGAAGGGCTTTTCTTGGAGTGGTGTGATTAAAAACCACATCATATTGTTAACTGTGGTGGGAAGGGTGTGGGTGAAATCCTCTGAGGCTGGAGTTCATTTCTGATCATTTTTTATCTCTCCTGCAATGGACTCAGTGTTCTGAACTTTCCAGTAGAGCTTGGAGATGCTGAGCCCAGGAGCCAGAAGACAAGTTAGAGACTGTTAGAGGGTGAACTGTCCTCTTCCTCCAGGTTGGCCCCATTTTAAGGGCCAAGAACTTTCTCACCCTTTTAAGTCATATCTGTTCATTTGTACCCACATCATGGTAAAAAGTGATAATGCCCAGTTGCACTCTCCACGATGGTGGTATATCAGAGTCACCTGGAGCACGAGAAAAAAAAATGTCGATGCCCAGGTTCTCCTCAGGCCAATTACATCAAAATCTAATTGGAAGGGAGGAGAATCACTGCAGCACATGGGTTTGCAGAACCTATTCTCCCAGATAGACAGCCTTGGCCATTCGGGTACCCAGTGTACCTCAGTGTACCCCCAGTGTAGGGGGGGAGGGGAGAGAGAGAAAGAGGGGGGCTGGCATAATGGCACATGCCTGTAAGGGAAGGCTGTGATGGGATTTTAGGCTAAGGCACACATTAGTGTGCAAAAGCACAAGACTGTCTGAAAAATAACCAAAGCATAAAGGACTGGAAGTGTGTCTCAAGTGGTAGATCACGAGTCATACAAGTGCAAGGCCTTAAGTTTAGTCCCTAGTACCATCACCAGAAATAAACAAATACACACCATACATACATACATACACCCTGCGTATATATTTAGATATATATTTTTTATTTGAGAGATGCCAGAAGGTTCCTAACAAATGAATGTATCGTGGGTGGCTTATACCTCTCCTACCTATTTAGGAAGCTGTGATCTAAGGACAGTAGTTCAAAGCCAACCCAGGCAGATGAACCTGAGATATTCTTATCTCCAGTTAACACCTGAACTGGAGATGTAGCTCAAGGGCTAAATGAAAAAGCCGAGCAAGAGCACAAGACCCTGTCTTCAAAACCAAGTGCCAGCACACATACATATACATAAAAGGACCAGTGCAAATATAATACTAACTAACTCTATTATTTCAAAGGTCAAGACAATGGGAATTTTTAGATATAGTTCTGTTTTATTTCTGAGGCTAAAGGATTACATTACTCCATTTAGCCATTTCATTGTTTATACATTTATTTATTCACTCAGTAAACAAATATTAAGGCATGGTGTTAGACACAGTATGGAAGAAAAAATGTGAGCTCCAGACTTAGGAAATGTTTTGGGTTGGGTGCAGTGATACCTACTGCCTAAAATCCCCG